TCTGAATGTCTGTAGAATGGCTTATGGAATGTTTGAAATGGCAAAAAAAAAAAAAAAAAAAAGTCACTCCAGGAAGAACAGTTTAGTTTTGAACAGATAAGGTATAAAACAACTGAAAATGCTAAACGTCTCAGTAGTCTCTTAAATGCCACGTCTTGAAGCCTGTTCATATTGAGTAAAGTACAGATTCAATGTCTGCACAGGAAGGAATACATTTTACACTGCCGCCTGGTACACACATGTAGGCAAAACCTTCAGATTTCGTGGTATTTTGCAATACTTAGACTTGCCATAAGCAGGTAGAATATTGCTTCTATTCTGTCCTATTCTGTAGTATTCTATGCTAGTCTACAACGATTTTATTCCATTTCATTGTTCTCTACCCCACCACATTCCATTCTATTCTAGGTTTTAAAAAGTGCTTTTACATTATCTTCTGTGTTGATTTAGTAACCCAGTAGTGGGTTGATACTAGCAGTTTGAAAAAAACAACAACAAGAAAAACTAGACTATGGGTTCAGGATTCTGTTTCTACTATGTTAGTTTTGAAATGAACTAGAAGTTATAAAATCAGCTGGATTATTAGTTTGGACACTTTTTTTAAGGTTATTTATTTTTGTTTAGTAATCTCTATACTGAGTGTGTGGCTTGAACTCACAACCCTGAGATCAAGAGTCACATGCTCATCCAACTGAGCCAGTCAGGCACTGCTGGACACCATTCTTGATTTAATTTTACCATGAAATATCCTAATTGTTATAGGTGTTAAGTTGTGCCTTTATCACAGATCACAAAAAATGTAACTAGAAGGGACTCTAGGTAGAGATTATCTAGCTGTTCTTCCCATGTCCCTGGATTTTTGTTTTTTTTTTTAAATATGTGTATATAATGATGGAAATTTCAAGCATATTCAAAAGTAGACTAGTAGACCGAGCCTCATCTATTCCTCACCTCTTCCTCACTAGATAATTTTGAAGTATATTCCAGATATATTTTATCTGTAAATACTTTAGTATGTGTCTTCACAAGATAAGGAAACTTAAAAAAGAAAGCATATCCAAAATATCTTTCCCATGACAAAAATAAGAATAATTCCTAATGTCATCAAATAGTCTGTGAGTATTCACATTTCTCTGTCATAATTAAAAAAAAACTGTTTTGAATTAGGAACCAAAGTCTACACATTGTATTTGATTGACACATCTCTTCAGTTTCTTTTCGTCTACAGCTCTCCTTTCGTGTGTGTGTGTGTGTGTGTGTGTGTGTGTGTGTGTGTTTATTGAGGAAATCAGGTTGTATAGAAGTACCTACATTATGGTTATTTAATGTATTTCTCTGGCCTTTACATTCCAGTTGGAAGCTTAACTGAGTCACCCAGACACCCCAGATTAAGGAATCTTGATAAATTTTGGAATAGTGGCAAAACGGCTGCAAAAATGCTTTGAATTTCCTATTGTCTTGAAGTTATTATTCTTTAAAAAATGTTTTTAATGTTTTTAATTTACTTCTGAGAGAGAGAGAGACAGTGTGAACAGGGGAGGGTCAGAGAGAGAGACACACACACAGAATTCGAAACAGGCTCCAGCCTCTGAGCTGGCTGTCAGCACAGAGCCTGACGCAGGGCTCGAACCCATGAACCGTGACATCATGACCTGAGCTGAAGTCGGACGCTTAACCGACTGAGCCACCCAGACATCCCTTGAAGTTATTATTCTATTTGATGCTCAACTTGTGCTATGATTGGCCAGTGGGGAGACCTACAAATTGGTTCTAGAGACCTTTTGACATTGTGGCAGGAGTCTTTGAAGAGCCAGTCTCCTCTGGTATATTTTATACCTAAGACCTAGAATAAGCTATTTCTCTACTGATTGGCCAGCTTTTTGAGTTTGCAGATAGAGAAATGAAGTGACCTGATAGAAAGATGCTTGTTGGAAGATTAGTCTTGGGGTCAATGCTCTTTTCACTATCTAGTGCTATCCCCTATAGGACTGAAATAGACCTGGCTAGTTGCCTTGCCAATTTCTGTTCCCGTTCCCCCTCCGCTTTTCCTTTTGTAGATTTCTTTTTCTACATAGCCATATGTTGGGAACTGCCAGATACTTATTATATCAGCTTCCAGTGCTGCTTGGGGTTGTGTCCTGATGTGGACAAACGTCTATAAAAAGACGGATGCTGAGAACTTACTTATAATTATTGTGATTTTACTTTAAAAAATGGGTGTTTTGCTTTAGAACTATTTTTCAGGATTTACTTTTTTAAAAACTGCTTAAGATTGTTCTTCATTTTACATAATCATAGGGAGTACAGGTGATCTGGATGATGAAAGACAATGGAGAGTTTATACTTCATGTCAGTTTCTTTTTGGAGTTTTATAAATGATCTTAGCAGATAAAACATTTATCTCCCTAATTCTGTTGAGTTCCAGGTAGTGGGTCATAGCTCTAATAGCTAATGATAGTGCTTAGTTTGAACCAGGATGTAGTTTAAGAGCTTTCACGTATTAACTGACTCAAAAATGGCCCTATGAGGTAGCTATTATTATTACTATTAACTTAGGAGGAAACTGAAGTAGGGGACTTCATGTGACTAATCTAAGATCACACAGCCACTAAGTAGGGGAGCCAGATTCTAACCCACAAACTCTGATCTAGACTATACTAAAATTGGTTGCCATTACTGATGTACCATTTTACTAAGAGCAGATGGAGGTGGGCTAGAAATGTATTTAGACATGGATTTAAAATATATATGGTACTTTATTAGCATATTTTGTGGGTTCTGTTTAAAATTAGTAGATTTAGTTTGTGTTACTACAGTCAAATGTAGGACTGTTTCTTAGATGTCTAAAATTACAAGCTGCTCAACACCCTATTGATGTCATTTTCCATATTTAAAGAATTGCACAGGGAATAAATCCTAGTGGCATCATGTGAGGCAATTCAGATAGGCTCATTATACAGATGAGAATGCTGGAAACTTTTTCTTAGCAATAGAACTTATAAATTCTGACATGCTCATGTATATAAAAGAAAGTAATAATTTATATTTTAAATATTTGTTCTCTGTGAAGATACATCATTTTAGCCACATTTAGCATCAGATATGAAGTAGGGAAGTGGATGCACAAACATACCGGATAATTTTTTCCTAACTCTTAATGATGTAGTCAGACTTGTTACTTGATTTTAATTTACCCCCACCTTCTAGATGTCACAAGGGTGTGCTAGTCCTAGGAAAAAAAGCATGTCTATTTCCACCAACCCTTAGTTTTTCAATTTTTACCATACTCTACTAATTTTCTAGAAATTAGCATTGAGACACTATTTGTGACATTTATTTTAATATTGTTTAGTCTTAATATTTTATTAATTTTTTGCTTTTAAAAATCTTTTTAAAGTTTATCTATTTATTTTTAAGTAATTGCTACACCCAGTGTGGCGCTTGAACTCCTGACCCCAAGATCTAGAGTCACATGCTCTTCCGACTGGGGCAGTCAGGTGTCCCTACTCTTAAGAACAGTAGGGGCTGGCTCAGTTGATAGAGCATGAGACTCTTGGTCTTGGTATCTTGGGATTATAAATTCCAGCTCCATGTTGGGTGTGGAGATTACTGAAAAATAAAGTCTTGGAAAAAAAAAAAAAGAACAATAGGATAAGGAAAATTACTTCTACTCTTCGGTTTTGCTGAACCTTGACAGAGAAGCAGTTTGACCTAGTAGAAAATACACTAGATGGAGAGAGTTAAAAGGTCTAAATGTCATATTTGACTCTATGACATTGAGTAGTTTTTAAAAGTTTTTTTGTACTTCTGTTTCCTCATACATAATAAGGAATTGAGTTAGATCAGGAATGCATAGGCACACTGGTTCTGGACTATTGGTTGAGCTCAGACTTCCCCCACAGTCCTTTATAAGGCATTATTTGCAGGAGATCACCAGGCCCAATAGGAGTTGATCCTAAAGATGGAGCCAGCTTTATAGGATTGAAGGTAAATAAGGTGGTTTCTTCCTCCCACCCCTTTCTGAAATCGTACCTCAGAATATACAATTAATTATATTTGAGTTTTTACAAAGCCTCTATAAGACACTCCATTTTTAACAGTCAGCTACTGTTCAAGAAGACACAGCTTGAAAACTCAATCAGTGATAGTTTTGCATGCATAGGGGACCTCCTGATCAAATCTGTGAAAAAGGAGACAGTGGCATTTCATACTAATTTGGTAGTTCTTTCTGGGGTATAGCTTCATAATTAAAATTGTTGGGTGTTGTAAATGAGTCTTTTGAAGATGACTTTAACAAGTAGCTAAGTGCTTCTTGGTTATCTGTGGTCAAGGGCCAGTTGTTTTTTTTTAAATTTCCTATTTGTTGCCAACTGATACTTGTGTAAAATACAGTAAAAGAAGAACTATTAGAAAAATGAAACACACACACACACACACAGATAGAAACCAAAATTCAGTAGACAGAATTTCTTTGCCTACTTGCTATGAAAGTTTCTAAAGTAGTCTTAATTCTTGCAATAGTTTGTAGAATGACATCGACTATGAACCAAACTTTGGGTGGCATTGCTCTGAGTAGTTATGTTGTGGAAGTCACAAATATACATATACAAGATGTATGAAAAAAGTGATCTTTTCTAGTATCATGAAAATTGTGGCATGAGGGAGAGAATGGTTGTTAGTCGTGCTTTAGATCATGGACCAAATCTGGCAAACTATCTGCTTTGTAAATAAGGTTTTATCAGAACACAACTATACCTATTCGTCTACGTTTGTCTACGGTAGACTTGGGTAGTTTTGACAAAGACCATATGATCTACAGAGCCTAAATTATTTATTCTGAGTTCCTTTCCAGAACAGTTGCTAGCTCCTACTTTAAATTTGAAAATGACTGTTTATGAATGATGGCTATTTATGTAGTGCTTGTTTCCTTTTTTTTTTTTGGCTAAATTATCTTTGTTTAAATCCATCAGACATATTATTGTTTGACTTTTTCCCTCTAGTCACTGATGTGCCTCACTTAAATTTGGAGAGAAGTAAAGAAAATGAACGGATCAGTAAAGATCAAACAAAGAAGAGGAAAAAAAAGCAAAAAGATTATCAACCCAACTATTTCCTATCCATTCCGATCACCAACAAAGAGGTGCTTTTTTTTAAAATTGAAGTATAGTTGACACGCAATGTAACATTAGTTTCAGTTATACAACATAGTGATTTGACAATCTGTATATTGTGCTGTGCTCACTACCACTGTAGTTACCATCTGTCACCCTACAGCACTATTACTTACCGTTGACCAAATTCCCTGTGCTGTGCCTTTCAGTTCCTGACTCATTCATTCTGTAACTGGAAGCCTGTACCACCCACACTACTTCAGCTATTTATCCCGTCTCTGTACCATCTTGCCCTCAGGCATCATCAGATCTTTGTATTTATGGGTCTGTTTCTGCTTTTTGTTTGTTTGGTTATTCATTTGTTTTAGAGGTACTATTTAAAAAAATATTTTTACACAAAGTTTCATTTTATTTTGTTATTTTTTTAATGTTTTATTTATTTCTAGGAGAGAGAGAGAGACAGCGTGAGCAGGGGAGGGTCAGAGAGAGAGGGAGTCACAGACTGAAACAGGCTCCGGGCTCTGAGCTGGCAGTCAGCACAGAGCCCGACGCGGGGCTCGAACCCACGAACCGCGAGATCATGACCTAAGCGAAAGTCGGATGCTTAACCGACTAAGCCACCCAGGTGCCCCACAGAGTTTCATTTTAAATTAGATTTAAGGTACACTAAATGCTTGGAAGCCTATTTGCTCTCCGCTCTTAAGTATCTTTGGTGGTAGTTTTAGGTGGGCTCCAAAGGAAATAATCCTATTTATTTATTTTTATTTTTATTTCTTTTTTACTGTCATCTTATATTTTTAAAAATTTAAGTCTAAGTTAGTTAACATATAATGTAATAATGATTTCAGGAATAGAATTTAGTGATTTGTCACTTACATGTAAGACCCAGTACTCATCCCAACAAGTGCGCTCCTTAATGCGCATCGCCCCACCCAACACCCTGCCGGCAACCCTCAGTTCGTTCTCTGTATTTAAGAGTCTCTTATAGTTTGCCTTCCTCTCTCTCTTTATCTTATTTTTGCTTCTCTTCCCAACTATGTTCATCTGTTTTGTTTATTAAATTCCACAGATAAGTGAAATCATATGATATTTGTCTTTCTCTGACTGACTTATTTCACTTAGCATAATACACTCTAGATCTGTGGCTGAGTAATATTCCATTGTATATATTCCACATCTTCTTTATCCATTCCTCAGTCGATGGACATTTGGCTCTTTCCATACTTTGGCTATTGTCTATAATGCTGCTATAAACACACGGGTGCATGTGCCTCTTTGAATCAGCACACCTGTATCTTTTGCATGATTACCTAGTAGTGCAGTTGCTGGATTGTAGAGTAGTTCCTTGGAAATAATCCTATTTAAATTTTTAAAAAATATTTATTTGTTTTTTTGTTTGTTTATTTATTTTTTTTTTTGAGAGAACACACATGAGTGAGCTGGGGAGGGGCAAAGAGAGAGGGAGACACAGAATCCAAAGCAGGCTCCAGGCTCTGAGCTGTCAGAGCAGACCAGAGCCCAACACAGGGCTCAAACTCATGAACCGTGAGATCATGACCTGAGCTGAAGCCGGACACTTAACTGTCTGAACCGCCCAGGTGCCCCCGAAATAATCTTATTTAAACAATAGAATGTATTTAAACAGTAATTTTGAAAAAAAATATTATTTAAACAGTCATATAAGTAATTTTGGATGTGTTGCCAGATGGCATGTCAAGGTTCTCTCTGTTTATTCACCGCAATGGAGGAATCTGTCAGAAGCTGAAACCGGTGACCAGGTAGAAGAATTTGAAATCTCTGCTGGGAAAGTTTTGGGATTTCCTGCTGCTGGTCCTGTGTATGGTAATGATTATTGTGACATAGTTTCTTTAAAAATTACTCCTTGTTGCACCAGTTTAATACTGCATGATAAACTCGGATAGAAATCTATTAAAAATCTGGAAAATTAATGTTGTATGAGTAATAGGATAGGGGACCGGCCCATTGGCCCAAACTAAGAAACCCTTATATGTGGCTGAGAGCTACAGTATCTAATTCAAACTGGTGAAACAGCGAGGTAGGAAAGCACACTTCACTTGGAAGACCGGCCGTTTCATATCTTGGCCCAGTTTGAGAGGCAGATCTGAATTTCTATTTGACTGTGGGCTATGATCTCTTTGACTAGTGTTCAACAACAAAAATTCCCAGTAAACTTGAAGATCCTATTGGCTTTATTGAACGACTTATGAATCGGGCAGCATCCCATCCATCAAACAGAAAAGTGCTTTGCCAGGCTGCAGAAAAGGAAAGGGTTTTAAAGGTTGAGAGGGAGGGGAAAGAAGGAAACAGTTAGCAAAGAATCTATTGTTTTAGATGGAGACACCCTTCTAAGGAGAATGGAAGGGGTCTGTCACTAAGTTTTCTGGTGCTGACCAGAAATTCCATGTTGACTGGTTATGTTCCCAGGGGGCTGAAACTGCAGTTCGGTTAGGTTTTAAGTCTTGGTTTGCTGATATGAGGCTCTTAACATGTGACTCCATTTTGGGCCTGTGGTTGTCTTTTTAACACTAGGCACATTTTAAGTTTGTTTCTCCCCTTATTTAACTAGAATGTGTCTAGGGAATGCTAATGAAAACTGAACTCAAAGAAATAAATATCAAAAGAAAAAAGTAAATTTTATTGAGACAGTTCAGAAAATTTCTAGTCTGTGAGGTAGTTTAGCTGGGGAAAAAAGATACATAAGAAGAGAAATTTGTATAACCTAGCACTGCAAGGTTTTAGAATTTAATGCAGTAAAGAATGGATTCCGATTTTACTGGTAGATTGCCAGTAAAAACTGTTATGTTGATAGTACGATAGTCCTTAAAAGTGTTTAGGTGATACAAACTTTAATGTCATTAGCAATTATATATTAAATATATTAAAATACCTTTGAGTTATTTTGGCAGGTTTTCTTTGAAATTTAGGGTTATATGTACGTGTGGGAGTTAGCAGAAAGCTAGAAGTCAGAGCTGGTGCTGCTTAAGTGAGAAGTCCGAAGCCAGGTCCTAATGACCCAGAATGTGAAATAGGCCATGTGACTTCCCCAAGGACATGTGGTTTGTGACTGGACAAGACCCCGGGTTCCTTATTCTGATTTGCTGCTTAGAGATTATTGCACTGCACTCTGTCAAGTGTAGAAGTTTGAGAAGCACTTCCATAAGCCGCTTTAACGAATCCCTTCTGGAGCCTGTCTCCCTTCACGCCTCCGTTCTTGGTGCCCGTGGTAGTCTGGACAGCAGCTCTGTGTCCCCTTCATGCCTGTCCTTCCTCTCCTAGCCTCGTTCTGACTGTGAAGATCCGTGGGGTGACTGGTGGGGAAGGGCTGGAGAGGAAAGGGGCCGGAGAAGTTCTTTCTTTCTGAAGCTGAGTTCAGGATTTTAGCCACTACAGTGACCGGAGGAAGGGGATGAGAGAGAACAGTCTGCAGCTCTTAGTTTTCACCCCGTCAGCTGCCGTAACCTTTGTGTCTGCTTCCCACCTTCTGGGAGGTGGTGGGGGAAGAGTGCAGCTTTGGAGCCCCATAGGCCTTGTTTGAATACCATCTGGGCTACAAATTCCACTGTGGATGTTGGTCAGGTTACTTAGTGTCTGTAGTTTCCGTTTCTTTAGGTGTAAGATGGAGGTGATAATGCTTATTTTCTAAACCCAGATCTGGACGCGTCACCCGCTTCCATACTTCACTATTTTCCTGTTGGTGTTAGGGTAAAGACAAAGACTCTACCATGTTCTGTGAGGTTCTCCATGCCTCAGCCTTCTCCACTTTTGCATTTGTTCCTTCTGCTTGAGCCCCTCTGGCCTTGAACTTGCCAGGTGCCTTCTCCCCCCAGAGAAAGCCTTTTCTGTCTAGGAGTTTTCTTTCATTACCTCTTGGTTTTGTTAATGTCAAAATCTTAGCTCAAACCTCTTCACCCGTGACCCTCCTGTCTCGGTCACCCCCTAGCTTGCCACCTCCAAGCTCTCATAGCTTTCCTTTCCTTTTGTGATCTGACATTCTTGCAGTCGGAACTTGTTTGTCTTCCTCACAAGTCTTCGGCTCATTCCCACTACCTAGAGCAGAGCTTGGCAGGAGCAGAAATACACACACACACACACACACACACACACACACACACACATACACACACACACAATACTGTCATTTCAGGGCTGAAGATGTGTTCCTGGCATGCCAAGTTGCGACCAGAACATTTACAATAGTTTACAAATGAGAAATGCAGTATTACAAATTTTGGTTTCATAATATAGGTTCATCAGCCATCCTTGGAGGGTAGGGTGACTCGTAGTAGTGGGGAATGGGGGTGTCAAGGGACCTGGAAATGAAATAATTTAATGATTCCCTCTCAAGAGACTTATTCGTACTTAGTAGCATGTGTATATACAAATACAGAGAGGATGGGGCAAGGTTAGGAGACACATTTTACATCTTTTCTATGAGCATCCTTTTTGTTTGTTTGTTTTAAAGTATCAAATGTTCATTTTCTATTTTAAACTACTTATGAGCTTTTGTGGGAAGGCCTGGGAAAAGAAGCAGCATTTATAACATTGTTTCAATGGGAGACTGTATTCCAAGTTCCAATTAAGTGACCTGCAAACAAGCTTTTGGAAGCTAGCACATTCACAATGAGTTGCTCTACTTTTGGCCTCTGCTTGTTGGCATCTAGTTTTAAAGAAGAAAGTGTTCAGACTGACATGGGTCTTTAATTTTTAAACACATCCTTAGATGTTTGAGATTCTTCATTAATGGAAAATCATAATTTCATACTTTTAAGAAACAGGATTGGAAAATGCACTAGAACTGCAGCATAAAATCTCTAGACTGCAGGTATGTGAAAGGATGTGTTTCTCCATTACCTGCAATTATACATTAGTTTAAAAACAAAAATAAAGAAGAAAAGAATTTAATGGAGTTCTAATAAATCCTATATGTTTCTTAAATGGCTAGAAATGTTTGATTATTAGTTCTAGTTGGATTACCCTGCTGGTTTTATGGGCTTTCTTACGAGTGGTAATAAGTATGAGGTAACATTGAAGAAGTACAGGAGAACAATTAGAAATGGGTTGAATTCAGGAGTGTATTAATTTTTTTATAAGATATATTTTTTTAATTTTTAAAAACCATTTTATTTATTTTTAGAAAGAGAGAGACAGAGACAGAGTATGAGCCAGGGAGGGGCAGAGAGAGAGGGAGACACAGAATCCGAAGGAGGCTCCAGGTTCTGAGCTGACATCACAGAGCCTGATGCAGGGCTTGAACTCAGAACTTGTGAACTGTGAGATCATGACCTGAGCCAAAGTTGGACACCTAACGAACTGAGCCATCCAGACGCCCTGGATAATTTTTTTATATTATTGGAAAAATATGATTTTCTTTTGGGGGTTTTAAAAGGCATTTGTAACCTTTAATTCCATATTTCATCATTTAGTAATGTAAAAATTGCTGGTCTAATAAAAATAATAAAAGTAGATTTGTGCATTCAGTTCTTTTCTGGGAAATGTAATTACAAAAGTATTTGATATCATGGTGTATATGTTAAGCATTTGGTAGATATAGAAAATTCTCCTATTTCAGAAGGACATTTTACTTTAACTCCAGTTTTGCTATGTTATCAATTTTTTAAGCTCTTTTCATGGCTGTAGACAAGCAAGAAAAACGAAAGTATTCAGCACTGAAGAAAAATTATGTAGCATACTGAAGTGATAATTCTAGTAAATATTAACGAGGCAGCAAATTTAGAAACAATACAAGTTAACAGCTTAGAAAAATTCTGAAAATAATGTCAAAAGATGAGGGCACAGACATTCTACTTCATGCTAGAATGTAACTTCTCTCCTCATGCAGAAGTACTAACTTTAAGGCTTTTTTCCTTGCACTCATATGTATATATGCTTTGAGTCAATTAGAAAGCTTAAAAGATATAACCATGAATTTTCATACTGCATAATTGTTAGGCATGTAGAATATGGCTTAGTGCTGAGCTTTAACAGATAGACTTTTTAAAAATTTTCTAAACACAAAGATAATACTCCATGAAATATTTAAGATTTAATAATACTCTTATTTTTAAAATTGTCTTTCAATATCATATTTAAAATGACTCTATGGTATTAGGTTTTTAAACTGTGCCTGTGCAGTCCTGTCAATGGCTGGAGGTTATGGTGACAGATAAGGGTAATGGCTTTGTAGAATTTTAAACAGCGACTCTAAAAATTAGTTTCCTTTGGCCTGTAATGACATTGATACTTCTTAAAATGGGATACAGAGAAGACTTTAGCATTTTTCTCTTTTATGTTTTGAGAATGTAGTTAGGCATAAAAAAGCATTTTAAAAACTCTTAATATCAAGGAATATATAAATTAATCTGGATCGTCAAAGCATCACTTGATCACCACAGAGTGCTAGTGGAGAAGGGTCAGAGAGAGAGAGAGAGAGAAAGAGAGACAGAGACACAGAGCCTGAAACAGGCTGCAGGCTCTGAGCTGTCAGCACAGAGCCCGGTGCAGGACTCAAATTCCAGAATGGTGAGATCATGACCTAGACCAAAGTTGGACACTTACTTCATCCAACTGAGCCACCACCCCTGAAAAAGCACATTTTAGAATAATGTGAACTGACATTTACTGATGTGTCCTTATGTCAGTTATTTTATTATTTTATTTTATTTTATTTTATTTTGATTCTAGTATCATTAATATTCAGTAGTATATTAGTTTCAGGTGTATTTTAAATATTTTTATTATTACTGGTCACTGTGGTGAGATGGTGGGTTAGAAGAAATAAACGTTGCCCTTGAGGAGTTTATAATTTAGTTTCTTTGATACAGAGTAGAGGAAAGTGACTCTGTAAGTCTCTTGTGTACTATTATATCAAGAGCATTTTATTTATCAGGCTAAGGGTATTCTTTTGCTAGTTTTCATAGAAGTGATCTCTTGCCTTGGGAAATGTTATGTTAGGTGTTACTGTATAACTTCCTTCTGGGAAAACACCATTTCCTGTGTCGCCCTCGTCTATATTGCAAGGAATAGAGAAATGCTCAGGTTATTTGGTGATGCATATTTATCGTAAAGACACATGGGAAGTCAGATCTCAGGATGGCATCTCATGATTTGTCCAGTCACATTCTGCAGATAATGGAAACATTGTTCAGGATAAAACAGCTACTCTAGTATCAGAGCAGTCCGCTGTGCTCATGATTCAGTTTTTTCTTATCTCTGCTGTTTTGTTTTGTTTTTTTTAATGGACTCTGCTTTTATTGCCAGGTCTCTCTCCTTCCCCTTTTTCCTCTGAATAATTTTGCTGCCTCAGGGCTTCTATGTGCTCCCTTTTCTCTGAGTATTGCTTGGTTTGCTATTTCATATTCAAACCATTTCCTTTATTTATTTATTCATTTATTCATTCATTCATTCATTCATTCATCCATTCATTTATTTCTGAGAGAGAGAGAGAGACAGCATGAGCAGGGGAAGGTCAGAAAGAGAGGGAGGCACAATCTGAAGAAGGCTCTAGGCTCTGAGCTGTCAGCACAGGGCTTGAACCCACGAACTGTGAGATCATGACCTGAGCCAAAGTCAGACGCTTAACCGACTGAGCCACCCAGGCGCCCCTCAAACTGTTTCCTAAGGCACTTTTTTAGTCCCATGTACAAGTGGACTAGAATTGTACCTGACTGGAAATGGAGGAGAGAAGAGCATCTTTCTTGTTTCATAGCAGAGACTGAGAGGACAAGTCTGATGGAACAGGGCTCACACCTCCCTGTGACTGTAATTGTTTTTCTATTGTATGCATTTGGATGGCTTTGCAGCTCTCTCTCGATCGTTATGCCCCTCCTCATACATCTGGAAAAATGACAATAGTCACTCCTGTTGAGATTATTGCTGTCCTAAAAAATTTTAAAGGCCATGAAGAATGGCTTCTCAGACACATTCACTTGGGGACAAATAAATAATACTTCCAACAGGAATGGAATGTTGTCTGCTGGTTTGACCTTTCTGTGGCAAGAATAAAACTCTTTTTTTTTTTTATTGTAGGAAAGATCATAATTACTGTGAGTCATACTGCAAGTTTCTGAAAAGATGCATGGTCACTGAGAGGTTTTCAGCCAGTGACCCAGTTTATAAAACAAGGGTATTAGGCTTGGTGTGTTCAAGATAGACACGAATTGTATGATTTTAAAAAACTTATACACCATATTAAGTTTCCCAAGTCATTTTACCCAGGGTATTTGAGAACAAATAGGTGATTCAGCATTGTTCGGTTGAAGAATCTTGACATTGTTCTAATTTTGATTGTTGCTTATTTTTCTTCTTAGTTTACATTTTGCCATAAAAAATGTCGTTTGCCTAATCTCTATTTTGTGTGTCTGCACGTGTGTGATTAGATTACAAGAGGAATTAAGATCCTACAAGATGCAATAATACAACAAGACAAACAATTGGCCAAAGCAATGATCAGTGATGGCGCCTTTCATATTACCCTGCTAGTGATGCAGTTATTGAATGAAGAGGAAGTAAACATGTGAGTAATATGTCTTCCTTGAATATCATTTTCCAAATTATTGCTTTAATATGAGTAAACACAGCAGAACTCAAAGAGACATTGAAGTTGTAAGGAAGCATTCTTTGTTATAATTATTCCAGTTAATTGTGAATGTACAGAATTAGGAATATAAATATTCCTCCTAACCCAGACTTTTAAATTCTGTTATTGTTATCAAATAGTAGCCCTTGGTTATGCAGTTGTTTTCCTCATGTTAATTATGTAAGCACTCTGGAGGCCGACTATTTAGGTTAGGATTCTTGGTTAAGATTCTGGAACTGTGACACAGCCATCTCTGAATAGCTGCCTAATTTGGGGCAAATCGCTTACTTTTTAAGTAAGTGGAAAAATATAGTTTCAATATGTGTAAAAGCTCTTTGTATAGCCCCAGCACACAGTAGGTGGCTGATGTTATTAGTCATTAGAGCAGTCATTCTACTAAGTCAGTAGGTAATTATAATTCTACCTTACTCATTCTTAGCGTACTTGTATACTACCCACTCCTAATTGCAGAGTTGTGTCATAAAGTTTGAGTATAAGTCATCGATTGCTGCTTGGAGTGGAGAAAGCTTGGTCTTCCCCCAATTCTCTGGGGTACTCCTTTCCCTGTTACTGCCTGTATAACTCTCTGGCTTGAGCTTAAGTTTAGCTCTTTGGAAACCCAGAGCCAGAAGGCGTCGCAGGTTACTTCTGTTTTCTATCCTGACGTATAGTCTTTTGAGGGAATGAAGAACAAGGCTTCAGTTGGGAAGGGGATGAGGAAAAGGGAGAAAACATTAAACTATTGGCTCAAAATATCAGTCTTCTGATCTACTCCAACCTCATCTACCCAAGAGTAGGTCTTGGGCACGCCGCATTTGCAGAGAGGACTAGAAGATTTTACTTGACTGCATTCACTGTTCCCTTTGTCAGTCAGAAGACAAAATACTCTGATGCCCCTTAAGGGAAAAAAAGCCAAAGAAGATCTGACAGGAGGAGGTGAAAGCCCTAGAGAAGTGGGCTGAGGGTGTTAGAATGGCGAATTAGTCGGGTTCTCCAGACACACAGAATCAACAGGATGTATATCTGTATGAATATCTAGATATAGTGATTTCTCAGTCTATCTGTTATCTATAGCTATGTACAGAATTTAAGGAATTAGCTCACATGACTGTGGAGCCTGGAAAATATAAAATTTGCAGGGCAGGCTAGAGACCCAGGGAAGAGTTGCTGTGGTCTCAAGTCCAAAGGCAATCTGGAGGCAGAATTCCTTCTTTCTTGGGGGACCTCAGTCTTTCGGTTAGCTGGTGTAAAGAGTGGCAAGTAGGAGACACTGAACCAGCAATAAATTCAAAAGACCTTCAGCATGGGTCTGTGAAAACACAGACAGCTTTGAGGAGGGCTGTAGGGGGCTGCTCTGAGGCTTATTGTCCAGGATGGGAGGGAGTAGAGAGCCTTTCCAGGGCTAGGTGGAGGAAGCAAAAGCAGAGGAAGAGGTAGGAAACCAGATACAATGTCCTGGCTCACCTTTTTGGGGTTGCATGTTTTTGTTTTTGTTTTTGTTTTTTTTTCCAAAACCTGGCCCTCACCAGAGAATTAGGAATGATAGAGACACTCACATTCGTTTGGGCTTCTCAGGGTTAAGCTGGGGAAAACACAAGCTCTTTGGAGAAGTTCCTGCTCAACTAATGCTACAAGAATGTGGCGTCACATAGGTGGTAGATTGGAGTTGAGAAAGATTTCCAACAGACGTACTTAAGGTTGTTTCTTCCATTCCCCATCGCCTATCAAGAAATGGATCCAGGGGTGCCTGGGTGGCTTAGTCGGTTAAGCGTCCGACTTTCGCTTAGGTCATGATCTCGCGGTTCGTGGGTTCGAGCCCCGCGTCAGGCTCTGTGCTGACTGCCAGCTCAGAGCCTGGAGCCTGTTTCAGTCTGTGACTCCCTCTCTCTCTGACCCTCCCCTGCTCACACTGTCTCTCTCTCTCTCTCCTAAAAATAAATAAAAAACATTAAAAAAAAATGGATCCAGAATTTTCTTGTGCCATGGTGGATGGACTNCAGCATTATACCCTCAAGGTCCATCCATGTTGCTACACATGGCCAGGTTTCATTCTTTCTCATTGCCATGTAGTATTGCATCGTATAGATAAACCACATCTTCTTGATCCATTTGTCCATTGATGGACACTTAGGCTCTTTCCATGTTTTGGCTATTGTTGAGAGTGCTGCTGTGAACATTGGGGTACATGTGCTCCTATGCATCAGCATTTCTGTGTCCCTTGGGTAAATTCCTAGCAGTGCTATTGCTGGGTCATAGGGGAGTTCTATTGTTAGTTTTTTGAGGAACCTCCACACTGTTTTCCAGAGGGGCTGTACCAGTTTACATTCCCACCAACAGTGTAGGAGGGTGCCTGTTTCTCCACATCCTCGCCAGCATCTAGAGTTCTCTGATTTGCTCCTTTTAGCCACTCTGACTGGCGTGAGGTGGTATCTCAGTGTGGTTTTGATTTGTATTTCCTTGATGAGGAGGGATGCTGAGCATCGTTTCATGTGTCTGTTGGCCATCTGGATGTCCTCTTTGGAGAAGTGTCTGTTCATATCTTCTGAGCATCTAACTCTTGATTGCAGCTAAAGTCTTGGGATTGAGCCCCATAGCAGGCTCCATACTGAGCATGGAGTCTGCTTAAGATCCTCTCTCTCTCTCTCCCCCCCCCTCCCCACTTTCTCTCTTTCCCTCCCTTTTCTCTCTCTCACTCCCCGTCCCCCTCCCTGCCTCTGCCCATTTCTGTCCCCCCGAAATAATTTTTTGGAAGTGTAATTAACATATAATGTTGTATTAGTTTCAGGTGTACAACATACTGATTCAACAATTCCATACATTACTGTGTCCATCATAAGTATAGTCACCCTCTATCACCATACAACATTATTACAATATTTTTGGCTATTTTCCCAGTGTTGTACCTTTTAACTCTCTGACTTATTTATTTTATAACTGGAAGTTTGTACCTCTTAATCCCCTTTATCTATTTCACTGATCCTCCCTTCCCTCTGGCAACCATCAGTTTATTCTCTGTATTTTAAGAGTCTGTTTTTTATTTGTTTCTTTAGGTTACACATATAAGTAAAATCATGTTATTTGTCTTTCTCTGTCTATCACTTAGCATAAATACCCTCTAGCTCCGTCCATGTTGTTGCACATGGCAAGATCTCATTCTTTTTATATTCCACTGTATAAATATACTTACATCTTCTTTATCCATTTGTCCATCTGTGGATGCTTGGCTTGATTTCGTATCTTGTCTATTTTAAATAATGCTGCAGTAAACATAGGGGTGCATATATTTTTTGAATTAGCATTTACATTTTCTTTGGGTAAACACCCACTAGTGGAATTAGTGGATCATATGGTATTTCTGCTTTTGAATTATATTTTTTAAAATTATTTACTTTTAAGAGAGAGGGAGAGATAGAGATCCCAAGCAGGCTCTGTGCCATCAGCACAGAGCCTGATATGGGGCTCAAACTCACAAACCATGATATCATGACCTGAGCTGAAATCAAGAGTCAGGTGCTTAACCTTCTGAGCCACCCAGGCATCCCTTTATCCTTAAAGGGATTTGTACAGTCTTCCACAGCGGTTGTATGAACCTGCATTTCTACCAACAGTGCGTGAGAGATCCTTTTTCTTCACATCCTTGCCAATGCTTCCTATTTTTTGTCATTTTGATTCTAGCTCTTCTGCCAGGTATGAGGTGAAATCTCATTGTGGTTTTGATCTGCAGGTTCCAGATAATTAGTTTCCTGATGAGCATCTTTTCATCATGTCTGTTGGCCATCTGTATGTCTTCTTTGGAAAAAATGTCTCTGCTCATGTTTTAATTTTCTGTTTTTGTTTTTGTTTTTTTCTTTTGGTGTTGAGTTGTAGAAGTTCATTTTATAGTTTGGATATTAACCTCTTATTGGATATATCATTTGCAAATATCTTTTCCCATTTAGGGAATTGCTTTTTCTTTTGTCGATGATCTCTTTTGCTGTGCAAAAGCTTTTTATTTTGGTGTAGTGCCAATAATTTATTTTTGCTTTTGTTTCCCTTGCTTGAGGAGACATCTAGAAAAATATTGCTAAAAACCGATGTCAAAGGGATTACTGCCTGTGTTTTCTTTTAGTTTTATGGTTTCAGATCTCACATTTATTTTATTTTGTCAGTTTATTTTTATGTGTGGTTAAGAAAGTGATCCAGTTTCATTTTTGGCATATAGCTGTCCAGTTTCCCCAGCACCAAGCTCTTATACTTATTGTGTCCTTTGAGCAAGTGCCTAGGCTCAATCTCATTATCTAGAAAATTGTCATAATAATTGCAGCTATTTCAGGAGTTGAGAGGATTCAACTTATCAATACGTGTAGATTTTTATAAATCTCAACAAAGGTTTTGCCCAAGTATACTTGCTAAGTTAAATATTAAAAAAATTTCATCTCGAGAACAGTATTTTATAATCAGATTATCGAGGGCATCTAGTACATTGCTAAATTAGCTTTATATTTTCTTAATCCTCAGAGAAACTGAGTGAAGGAAGTAAAATTTTTTTTAAGTTTTAGTAATTTGCTGAAGTTACTCAGATAATGAGGGGGAATAATGCTATGAAACAGAGAAGGTAATATTTTAAATCATAAATTGAGGAGTTTTAAGAATGGTTACTTCAAAGATTTTGACTGCTTACATAACATTGAGAAAAAAGAAAAGATGATCAAAACAAAGAATCTAGTCTGTTTTCAGCCTTTTGTCTAAGAGGAAGTGTGAAGACAGTCAACCAACAATAACAATGAAAGTAATTTCTCCCATAATTCATTCTCTTGTAGTATTTTTTTGAGGGAATAAATAAAACCTAAAGAAAAATTAGATAAATGGCATAAAACGACATGTGCTTTGGGTAGGAAAACACATGCATGGATCAGAGAATTTCAGCCTTTATTAAAATGACCAGATTCATTAAAGCA